TCATCGGAAATTTCTTTTATTCTGAAAACGAAAATCCCCATGTTCTTAGCATTATTTCTAGCACAAATTTCTAGCTCGTTTCTAGAATTATCAATGACGGTTTAAGCATGTCTTCAATAAATGTTTTTAGGGGAATATTCTTAGAAAAAAATAAAAGATGCTAAACCTTCTTTATCTCCTTAATTTTCAAATCGGTTCGATTCGGTTCGGTTCGGTTCAAAACTTTTTCGGTTCGGTTCGGTTCGGTTCGGTTTGCGATTTTTTCGGTTCGATTCGGTTCGGTTCCAAAAAAACATGAACCGATCCCATCACTGGACACTAAATTATCTTCAATATTCATCTTGAAGAATAACATAAACAATTAAATACTATTCAAGCACTTTATTTATCTAGTTCTTTACTGTTCTAATAAAATTTTTAACAGAAATTAAATAATTTTAAATACAAAGAAATCACCCTGCTAATTTTTTTGTCATTTGAATATGTTGAGATAGAAATAAAGGTATTTGATTAATTAAATAGATTTATGCAATTTATATATAAATAGAGTAATGTTTATAAAAGAATTTCATCGAATTGATACCGAAGATGATATGGAAGTTTACAGAAATTTCGTTTGTTTTTTTATTTGATCAATTTTAGGAACGAACACTTTTTCATAGTTTTGTTTTATTCTAACCTTCGTTATGTTCAATTAATAAGATATTTATTTTAATTTATGTATTATATGTAGATTAATAAAATCTTAGAGAATCATGTTAACAATTTTTATCAAATAAGATAAATTTTAGAAGTGAAATATTGTGGTTTATCTGAAAAATAATAATTAAATCAATATATTCAATTGATTCGACATTCATCTATGTAGATAATCTTCCATCAGAGTCGATGGTTTACTATGTTTTGAGATAAAATCTGGTTATTCCAGAACATTTTTTCAATAAATTTATACTTTTCATTTTGAACAGATCAATTAGTAGATGCAAAAATCGATTTTAATTCATCAAATGATATTAGATCTTTTGTATTTCTTCCTTAGAATAAATACAAAGTTTTGATCATATATTAATTGACTTTATCTGATAATGCATAATATTAAATGTAGATGAGAATTGTGTTTGTACACTCTGTAGAAGTATCTGTTTTGGTTATTGATTAAATTCTCTGACTAATAAAGTGAGTATATGTTTAGCGACATCTATAATAAACAATTAATGTAAAAGACTAATTGCCAGCAATGTATATGACTGATGTAAGAAGCTTTTGAGCATGCTGATAGTACTCCGGAAGCATACTTTCGCTTAATATCTTACATATTCTTTATAGTTTAAAAATTCATACAGTTCGATGTAAAAAGAAGAATTGCACTTAGTTAAAAACAAATCTTTGAATTGGTTGAAGGATAAACAGCAAGATTTCTACCGATGACACTCTAAATTTTAAATTGTCATCGTTGTTATTAATACTTCTATGATTAATTGATAAAGAACTTTATCATCTTAATGACAAAAGACATAAATGCTATATAACGAAAATGACTTTTTTTTTCTTACTGATAAAATAAAGTAAAGAAACATATAAGAAGTTAAGATACTCAGTTATATATTTGCTCTACTAATCTTTGCAAACATAGAATACTGAATGTAGTTGTCGTAAATAGAAATTTGAATATTGTTTTTAATAAAAGGTTCGACGTTTTTCTTTTTTATGTTTAGATAATAGTAAAACAATCATAAAATAATGTCAATTGAAATAGATCAACAAGCACCAAATTTTACTTTATACAACACTGAGAGAAAAGAGATTTCTCTTCAAGATCTAACATCAAAATCGAATGTTGTTTTATTATTTTTTCCATTGGCATTTACTGCTGTTTGTACAACAGAATTATGTTCTACTCGAGATGATATAAGCATATTTGAAAATTTAAATGCAACTGTTATTGCTATTTCAGTTGATTCAATTTTTTCTTTAGGAAAATTTCGTCAAGAAAATGAACTTCCATTTGATTTATTATCCGATTTTAATAAAGATGTTTCTAAAAAATATGATTCACTTTATGATGAATTTCCATTATTTGGTCTTAAAGGTGTTACAAAACGAAGTGCTTTTGTTATTGATAAACAAGGCAAAATAAAATATGCTGAAATTCTTCTCGACCCAACCAAACTTCCTGATTTCGATAAAATAAAAGAAGTATTAGAAAATTGTGATAAATCATAAAAATTCATTTATTATTTCATGTGAAATCACATATTTGTTTTTTATATGAATTTTTTTCTTTTTTTTGTTTTTATTTCAAATCAATTGAAACTTTTCTTTTAAATAAATCCTTTGTAATATCTTAAATAATGTATACAAAAAAAAAGTGAAATTAAGATTATTGACGAAATTTTGAAAAGGTTTCATGATTTAATAAAGAAAAGACTAATCTCTCTTAAATATAAACAAGAATATAAGATGAAAACTAGATAGAACTCTTTTTTCGTTCGGGAAAATTTTGGAACCTCTCTCTCTAAACAAATGGTTACATGGTTAAAAACAGTTTTTTTTTATTAAACTTTGATACTCTATTTTGATAATTTCATACATAATTATGTTAGTGTAATATGGATCAATTAATTTGTTTGATTTTTGAATCATATCTCTATTTTCAATGGTATAACAATGTTTTCTAACAGTTAAGAATGATTAATAATAATGATATCAGGAATATGTCATAATTAGTTAATTATAAAACGCTAATTGATATGAAAATAAAAACAATAATAGTTTGTTAGAAAGAATGAAACATATTCAAATATGAAGTGTGAATTCCCCTAATAGTAAGATTTTTTTACTTTCTTTTTCTTTTGCAAAAATAAAAACTGATATCTCATAAACCTTCTTAGAATAAAATCTCTTATTGTTTGTTAGGTTATATCAACAAATTCATCATTACATATATAATAAATGCAAAAACCTCGGATTTAAATCCGAGTGTTATGTGTACTTCGAAAAGTGAACAGGTATATTCACTTTGTTTTTTATCAACTGAGACATATCTAGTCGATTTATATATGTTGTGAATAATTCTGAGAAAATTTCTTTTTTGAAAAACTCTCTGTACCGCCCCCTCTGGGATGGTCTGATCAATAATGACAATTTTTTCGATAACTCAGCCATTTCTTGACAGATCCTTCTCATCTTCAAACTCGACCGAAACATTGTTAAGACTGAACTGTGTAGAAAATTTCATTGTGATCTGACTCTCCTTTCAAAAGTTATCGTGTAAACGGCCGGACACACTTACCGATTCTAGAGTGTACTCACTTTTTGAGTACACAAAAACCATTTAGAACACTTTGTATTTGTCGAATAAATAAGGAAAATCAATTCTTCTCACACACACATGTCTTAAGATGATTTATCTAAATCAAAAATGATAAAAATAACTTTTTGGGACTCCACTCGATAATTGCTTCAACAATTTTTTCGACGAGATACGACCAAGCCATACACGGTGTCTATTTTTTCTAGTTTTCACTTTTCAATTTACCGAAATCAAATCGACAACACTTGTTACTGCAAAAAAAATCTTTTTCACAAAAATTTCCGAATAGATACCTTATGTTTAACTGATTAGCTCCATGTTCTAAACATTATCTAACAAATTCTAAATAACTCATTATGTGATAAACATTGCACGAAAAGTATGTTGACCTAATGACCTGACAAAAAAAAAATGAATGAGGAAAAAAAAAATTTTAG